TGAGAGACACAATCTATCTTATAATCCAACGGATAAGTCAAAATATTTTTCCAGCCAGGGCTGGAAGCTGAGTCACAATGAGTGTGATTCAGGCCTTGATTTCTCCCCCAAGGTCATTTAGAGAGGCGTGAAGTTGAAAAAGACCCACAGTTTTCGCTGCTGCCATAGAAAAAAGTCCTGAGTGGGAGTGTCTGTAGCCAAGATAAGGCCCACTCCATACCTGGAAACCTTGCAACTTCTAACTTACGTCTTAGGAGCGCCTCAGCCATGAATAACCTCCTTCAGAAAACACACCTGCATTTCAGAGTTGGTCTTGTTTTTGTATTTTTTTTATCTTGATCATGTTTTGATAGAAGGGGGGGGGGGAGTTAGTTTCTTTCCTAAAATGAATATCTCGGTGAAAAATCCCTGTCATTCAGAGTTTTGGTTCAGTGCTTATGTCTTAGTTTGAAAAAAGGAACTCTAGTAAAGTAGACTATATCAGTTAGCAGGTAAACTACCTTTTCTCAAATCCAGAAGCTATTTGAAAGAAATTACATGGAGCAGTTCCCCTAGGCCAAGAAGATAGTTCAAGAAAGTGAGGGCGTATAGGATGCTCACCACCACATCGTTCTCTAAGTAGTGACAGAAGTGACCCCTGAACAGTGAGCAGGGAATAGGCCCTGAACACTGCCTCCAGAGGCCCAAAAACAAATACCCCAAATATGGCTACTTATAGGCTTCTAGAGCATTTATGGCTGTTTTGTTTTTGTTTTTTTGCATTTTGGGTCACACCCAGCGATGCACAGGGGTTACTCCTGGCTCATGCACTCAGGAATTACTCCTGGCAGTGCTCGGGAGTATCATATAGGATGCTGAGAATCAAACCGGGGTCGACCACGTGCAAAGCAAATGCCCTACCCGCTGTTATCCCTCCAGCCCCCATTTATTTTTTTTTTAAATGTTAGGAATAAACAGCTGATCAAGACAATTGGGCAAATTGCATTTCCCTCGGAGCTTTATCAGGGTCGAGGAGGGCTGTGCAGGTGAGAGGGAGAAGCTGGTGTGTTCCCATGGCCACAGCTTCAGGCTGACCGAGAGGTGTGACTCAGAGGAAGTAGCTTCACAGTTCATGCTGGGACTCCGTTTCCACGTCAATAAACTGAAGATAATAAAACTGACTTTGCAGAGTGTGAGGGGGATAAAAGCTAGCAGTGAGGGCAGGCCACCTAACCAGGCTTGAAATGTAGTGAGCGCTTAATAAATTGCAGCGGTCGTTCACATTAATGATCATTGTTTAAACGTCGGGCTATTATTCCAAGTGCTCAGTTTGTGTAAAATTCATTTAGACAGGCAGAGTGAAACTGACAACTACCGAGAAGACACATCCAAAGTGATAGAGGAATTGAATTGGAGATGGCGAATGGGGGGGGGGGGGAAGGGCGGGAAATCCAAAAATTTGAAGAAGGGATCATTGGGCTGGGGAGGAACGAAGGAAGAGGCTGTTGGGGGGAAGTTCTCAAGAAGGCTGAGGCATCCTCTAGTGGAGAGTCAGACCTTGGGGTTCCCAGCTACCCTTAGTTCATAGGTCATTTCAGGCAGGAGATCCAGAGAACAAATGTAGAAGCATTTGAGTGAGACCATTCTGTGTCTGTCCCTCTTCCTTTGATCATTTCACTCAGCACACTGCTCTTCAGATCCATCCATGTAGCCACACATTGCATGAGTTCATCTTATTTGCAACTACCTATGTACACAAATATTCCACTGTGTATATGTACCCGATTTTCTTGATCCAGTAGTCTGTTCTTAGGCACTTGGATTGTTTCCAGATTTGGACTGTTGTGAATACTGCTGCAATGACCATAGGAGTGTGCGTGACTTTTCTGTACTCAGGGAAGGGACCGCTAAGACAATGATAGAGGGAAGTGGTCACTGTAAGAGGACTGGGTGCTTGAAAGGAGATAAAGTGGCATGCCTGATGCCTTCTCAGAACAGTACTGTAAACCACAGAGCCTAAAAGGAAAAAGAAAAAGGTGCCCACCATAGAGACAGGAATGGGGGCCCGAAGGAAGTGGAATTTTGGTGGAAGGAAGTAGACACTGGTGATTGGTGTTGAAACATCATCTGACTGAAACTCAATCATGAATACTTTTGTAATTTAAGATTTAGTTTATGTGGCTGGGGCTATAGCACAGCGGGTAGGGCATTTGCCTTGCATGCGGACAACCCAGATTCAATTCCCAGCATCCCATATGGTATTTTGAGCACCACCAGAAGTAATTCTTGAGTGCAGAGCCAGGAGTAACCTCTGTGCATCACCAGGTGTGACCCCCCCAAAAAAAATTCCGTGTAAAAAATATATATATATATTTTAAGTGGAATACGAAGTATTGCCTACCTGAAGTCAAGGAACCAAGCTAGCGAAAACATCAGGGTACAGTTCTGCCAGAATAGTTAGGGCAGCATTTCCTAAAATACACTGAGGACTCTGGTATGTGCTGAGTTCAGCCTGCACAAGCTTTGTGTCCACACTTAACTTACCCAAGAGCTGCTGGAATTCATCTTGACATTAGGCTTCCCAGAATGGATCTCTAGCAGACTGGTTCTGACTACTTGTACCACCTTTGTCTGGTGGTATTTTTGCTGTCACAGCCAGAAGGGAGTGTTGATCAGTGTCTTGCCATGAACAGAACAGCGCCCCCACCAATAGAACTCTGTTTTTTCCTTTGTTTGTTTGGTTGGTTTGGGGGCCATACCCAGCAGTACTTACTTACTCCTGATTCTGCTCTTGGGAATCACTCCTGCGAGTGCTTGGGGAACCATATGGGGTGTAGGGATTGAACCCCAGTTGGCTGTGTCAAGGCAAGTGCCTTAGCGCCTTAGCTGTTGTACTATCACTTTGGCCCCTGAAGCTTGCTGTCTGTAAGTGGGACTAGGACAACTGTTAAAGAACCCTGGGTATCAGAGCTAAAACATGTGTGGGCATCTTAGTTAAATATCAGAGCATTCCCCCTTCTTTATACACCAATACATGGAACTAAAGCGTTTGAAGGATTAAGCATTTGTTCTCTGAAAATATTATGTAGACTACATTATAATTGTGTGCCTCTCTACTTAACTGTCTGTTCTACTCTGGTTTTAAAATATCATCCATATTTCTAAATAAGCAACTGGCTCTTTGTATAAGGAAAATAACATACGCATTAAAGCTCCAGGGAGTATGTCGTAGGAACCACCTTCCACTCTGCCTCTGCCCAGCTCTTTGCTGGCCAATTAATCGCTGCATTCAAGGGCTCCCAAGGCAGCGACTCCCCTGCAGTGAGAATGTGGTGGTTGAGAGTGAAACATGATGGTGAATGGGCAGAGTTCCCCAGGGATATAACACAGGCCAGCAACAAAGCCAGGACTGGGTCGCATCAACGCACACCATCTCGATGCTCTGGAAATGCTGCTACTCAGTGATTCAGAGAATAAATCATGCTTTCTCTACTTAATAATACATTGCTGTTTCAAAATACTATAAGTATATGTTATGTGCGTCCACTGGTAAACTTTCAGAGTCTTCTGAAATCCAGACACAGCATGAAAACACACGCTATATTTGATCCTTGCATAAATAGCACAGATTTTAATTTTATCCCAGTTATGGATATCTGGCGCGTGCGCCGATACTCTGGGCAGACTGGTGTGAAATTTAATTTGAGCAGTTAAACACAAGGGTGAGAGAGTGCAAAATAAACAAGCACATGCATTTCCAGCCCTACAGCATTTGGTATGTTAACAGGAAAAGCACCCAAATCCTCGCTCTCTTTTATTTTTTTTCCCTTGTGACAATCAGATTACAGATTGCCTGAAAAGGCACAAATCCTCCATATCTCCCACGCACCCCCCCCATCCCCCAGATCCCCCGGAATGTTGCCCGCAGCCATTTCATCTGGGAGCTCTTCATGTTGGAGTTATGAATTGTAGTGAATGGAGTTATGAAAGGATACAGGTCTCTTTGTTTCCAGATTGGGTATTAGACTAGAGAGTCCCTTGGTTGCAAGTGAAGGTCAACAGTGTCCTTGAGAACATCTTGGAAAGCAAACCAGAAGAAGAATTGGAAGGTGTCTGGATTTGCAGTTCTGTAGACAGGGATATGGAGTTCTACTAGTCCTGTGACATTATCCTGGATCTTGAGAGAGTTTCTAAATCTAGAGTCCTCATTTTTTTTTTTGTTAGTGAGAGTGTGGGGTCAAAGTGATAGTACAGTGGGTAGGGTGCTTGTCTTACACATGGCTGACTGGGTTCAATCCCTGGCACCATCTCTCTCAAACCCTTCCAGGAGTGATCGATCCCTGTGCACTGGTGGCTGTTGTCCAAAATCCAAACTTCTTTTTTTTTTTTAATGCAAAAGGGAGTGTGTTGTTGAGCCTCGTACTGAGAAAATACAGGGGGCAAGATGGAGACGGGGGTGGTCAGAGAGGCACGTAGATAGAGGCTGTCAGTTTCTTTCATCCTTAAAGATACCTGTAAATTCATCCAGGGAGAGAACATCACTAAGGAAGTAGCCAGGCGTGCTGTCAGTAATTATTATTGTAGGTAAAAAAATGGCAGCCACATCCTTCCCCCTTAGCAACTACCCCATGCAGAAATAGGGAGCACGTCTGAGCCTGCCCCCTCTGTTCTTCCATCATTCTGGATTTTAAGTACATCATGAGCATCTGATCTTGTACGGGAGGAATATGTTGTTGGGGGTGAAGGGAAAGAGAGAGTGAGAGAGAGAGAGAGAGAGAGAGAGAGAGCTAGCATGCACATGTGAGTGAGTGTGTATGTGTGTGTGTGTGTGTGTGTGTGTGTGTGTGTGTGTGTGCATGCATGCTTGCATGTGTGTAGTGCACACACATGCATGCAGGTCACAGCCCCAGCCTCTGGAAAAGCTGCCAGATTGAACCGGTGAGTTTCTTCTATTCCAAAGAAAGAGCATCTGCTTACCATCATTAAAAAGTCCCATCTTTCCACTCAATTTGTTTCCACAGAAGAGCGAGTTGTCCCCATTGAAGTGTGCCGTTCCAAACTGTCAAAATACTTGCAGGGAGTAGTTTTCCGCTGTGATAAGTGTACCTTCACCTGCTCCAGTGACGAGAGCCTCCAGCAACACATAGAAAAGCACAATGAACTGAAACCTTACAAATGCCAGCTCTGCTACTATGAGACCAAGCACACGGAGGAACTGGACATCCACCTTCGAGATGAGCATAAGGTACTGGTCTGGGACCTCCTGCCTCCACTGTCTGGGGATGGGCATAGGGAGAGGGAGGAGGCCTCAGATCCCTGGGGGTGGGGAACGGGAAGGTGGGCCAGCAGAGTGGAGTCAGACCTCTCTGTGTTAGACAGTCTTGTACTAAAATAATGTTAACCAAGAGTTCATTTCTTTTATCATGATTAGTTTAGAAACTTGGAACATAGAAATGAGGGAGGAGAAAAATCACTCCTAGTTCTACCACTCCAAGCCAACTGGTTGACGTTTTCATTCCATGCCTACTTTCTTTTGTTTTATTTAATTCTGATAAGATAATTTCCTCCTTTTTAAAAAAATCTTTTGCTAACTTAACATTCTAACAGGACCATTTTTCCACGTTAATTTAAATTTATTATCACAAAGGTTAGAAATCCTTTAAAGGGCCAGTTAATAAGTATTTCGGGCTTGCCAGGCCAGATGGTCTCGTGGTAGGGGCTCCATTCTTCCTCAATAGCCAGAAAGCAGCCAGAGACCATATTAAATGAGTGGGAATGGCTTTGTGCCAATAAAACTTTATTTATAAGAGCAATATTAAATGAGGGGGCATAGATGTTTTCCAATAAAACTTTATTTGCAGAAGTAGACAGCAGGCTGTAAACCCATAGTTATGCATCCAATTTCATCTGATGGCTGGATCCCTGTATCCCCTTATTATGAAGGTTGTTTTTTTTGTCTTTTTTCCCCAAGATATCTCTACTTATATCTGAATGCTGAAAGGACTATGCAAGGTGTTTTACAAGTATGGGAGATTGATAAAGAATAGATGTGTACAGGATAAAGATGAAAGGGTTTGGGACAAAACAAAATCTCATCTGAACATTGACTAGTAGGAAGATAAAATGAGAGTGTCATAAAATGACACTTCCCATCCACTGTTTGGCACATCAGGAACAGAGACAATCCTTTCTGGTTCTCTTTATTTGATTCACAGTGCAGAGTAAGGCGAAGGAATGATGAGTATTTGTGTCATGAGAAGAGCCTATTAAAAAACTATAAAATTAACCAACAGATTTAAAACATCATGAGTGTTTACTTATGGCGCCATAAGAAGCACTTTTTATTTTATTTATTTATTTGTTTATTTATTTATTTATTTATGGTTTTGGGGTCATGCCTGGTGATGCACGTTATTCCTGGCTCATGCACTCAGGAATTACTCTTGCCGGTGCTCAGGGGACCATGTGGGATTCTGGAATCAAACCCGGGTCAGCCACGTGCAAAGCAAATGTCCAACCCACTGTGCTATCGCTCCAGCCACACTTTTGATATTTTTTCCTTCATATTCTCTGCTGTGGAAATCCAACTCTTCTTTCTGACCTTATAACCTCAAGTTCTAAAGACTGTACTCTGAATTATCTATACCAAAGATAGAGATTTTTGCAGTCTAGAGGGTTGAGAGAGAAGGCTGAGTTATCACTTGTTCACAACTGAATGATTTTATAGTAGCTTTCCTGATGGAATGGAATACATTCATTTTTCCGATATCAGCACACACCCTGCCCCCCAAATAAATTGAAAGCAGAGAGGAAAAGCCTGAATTCTCTCACTTAAAAACGTTAATATCTTTTCTTATTCAAACTTCCTAGGTTTTTCTGCCCCACGCTCAAAGGAAAATCACTCATCCATTTCAGACCAAGGTTTTCTACATTCATGCACACCTATCTTATTTTTGTAGCTATCTCTGATCTTTGTATTATAGTATTCCAGCCTTAAGGCTAATATTTTGGGACAGAGCTTGCCAGGAAGATAAATTCTTCCCTAATTGTTCATATAGTAGCTTGTGAGTCACTGGAGACATTTACAAAAGATTAGAAACTACACCTGATGTAGAACCAGAGTCTGCCAGAACAAGATGGAAGGAAGGAACTTCAGACCAAGACAGCAAGGAGCTTTAGGAATAGAGGGTGTCAGTAAAGAGCTTTTGGAGAGAAACGGGGCTTGAATCTTCTCTTAACCACTTACTATACAAGTTCAGCAAGCTAACTTAAATGTCCATGTCTGTTCTCTGATTTGTAAATGGGAATAGTTGATTTCTTTCTCTGGAATTTTGTAAGATTAAGTGAAACTCTGCTATTTCCCCTCACCTTGAGACCCAATGGTTATAAATTGAACTGTGCTCGGGTTTAATAGCAATTGTGCCTATCATTCAGGTGGTTATGTTTCTAAAGGCCTACAGTATATTATAAAATTACTAATGAAGCCTTGCATTTCAGACATAGCCTTGATGTTATATTTCTGTTATGCCGTGTTATGTTCTTTAATTTTACTCTTTCTTGTGGTTGACCAGCTTATTAAGTCCAATGAGCACCTAATTGAGGCTAAAAAATTGCCACTTGCAGCATGCCTAATGGTTTTCATCTTTGTCTCAATTGTTTATGAGATTCCCTGCTTATCACTGGTAGCAGTACACTCTCCCGTTTCCTAGAATTTCTTTTCTAAAGAAAAGCGTATAGAGAGCTTCATTCTAAATTCTAAAGATAAAATTTTTGAAATCATTATCCAAACACTGTTTTGTAAACAAAAATAACACTGCTGTTAAATAGATTGTTTGGCTGATGAACAGTGACATGAAGAACTAAATATTTTGTTTTTAAATTTTTCATTATTTTTGGTTTGGGGTCTACACCCTGCTGTACTCAGGGCTTAATTTTGGCTCTTTGCTCAGGGATCACCCCTGGCATTTCTCGGGTGGTTGTATGCAGTGCTGGGGATCCAATGCACCTGTCACATACAAGTGCCTTAACACCTATATAATCTCTCTGGCCACTTGGTAACAGTGATAAGAGATATGCAAAACTACCATATACATATATCAAGAGATATTTAACAAGTATCAGGGTGAGGGGCTGGAGAAATAGTACAGCAGGGAGGGCGTTTGCCTTGTACGTGACTGACCCAGATTCTATTCCCAACATCCCATACGGTCCCCCAGCACAGCCAGGAGTAAGTCCTGAGTGCAGAGCCAGGAGTAACCTCTGAGCATCACCAGGTGTGACCCAAAAAGAAAAAAAAATTAAAAAAAAAAAAGTACCAGGGTGAACATCCATGTCAAGAGAGGGGTTCGGCAGGGTGATACCATTTCACCTAAACTCTTCAGTGCCACCCTCGAGAATGTCATGTGATGACTGGAATGGGAAGGAATGGGAGTGAAGATAGACAGTCGGCAACTATAGTACCTCTGTTTTGCTGATGACATAACAAACATTAGCCAAGTGGCACAAATGTTGGCCGACTTCGACTGTGAGTGTGGAAAGGTCAGACTACAGCTGAATCTCACAAAGACAATGTTTTGAGAAACGGTCTCATTCCTGACGTTCCATTCCCTCTCAACGAAACAAACATCTCTGAATGCAACAGTTATGTGTACCTAGGTGGAGAAGTCAACATGACGAATTACCTGGCACCTGAGTTGCGCAGGAGGAAGAGAGGGGCTTGGAACGCCTTCAAGAGCATCGAAGAAATATTTAAGAGGACAAAGAACCTCCGGCTCTAGGCACATCTCTTCGATTCCACTGTTCTTCCTGCATTAACATATGCCTCAGAGACCTGAGCCCTACGAAAATGGGATGAGAAGGCTATTTGGGTCTCCCAAAGAGGAATCGAAAGAGCTATGCTTGGAGTATCACGCTTCACTCAAGTGAGAGAAAGAATCCGGAGTTCTGACCTCCATCGACAATCAAGAATCAGGGACGCTGTCTCGTTTGCCAAGGTTTCGAAAATCAAATGGTCTGGACACGTAATGAGATTTGGAGATCACTGCTGGACTAGAGCTATTACCGACTTGATTCCATGAGACATCAAAAGATAGGGTGTCCTCCCACCCTCCCACCTATGAGATGATCAGATTTCTTCGTCAAGACCCTGAACAATTGGTTTGAGACTCTTTGTGTTCCTGGAACGAGCAGACCACATTGGGCTACACTAGCACGTGACAGGGACGAAAGAAGACATTACTGGTGCCCGCTCGGGCAAATCAGTGAGTAATAGGATGTCAAGTGATCAAATGATCAGGGTAAAAGATATACAAAAATCTCATCTTGCCATTTCGGAAAGGGCAGAAGAGTATCAGTGTACCATGTATTAAAAAGAAATTTGCTGATAATTGAGTGCAAAAGTTAAGGACTGTAAGACAATAACAAGAAACTGAGACCCAAGAATTGAAGAGGAAGAAATAAAACTGTATTCAGGTACCAGAGAAAAGAACATGTGTTTGCCCTGCACCCAGCCATGTCAGGTTCCATCTCTGGCTCAGCTCCCAGGACCACCAGGAGAGATCCCTGAGCCAGGTGCAAGCCCTGAGCACCTCCAGGTATGGCCCCAGAACAACAACAAAAAAATAATCCACTGTATTCAGAGAAAATGTGAACTTTGTAGCTGGAAAATACTAAGGAACAAATTTTTAAATCACTAGACTATTAGTTTAGCAAAGTTGCAACCATAAAACCAATATACAAAAATTATTGTATTTCTATAAACTAGTAATGAGAATCTGAAAATGAAATTTGAAAATGATCCATTTTATTTATAATAGCATCAAAAAGAACAAAATACTTAAATATATTTAATAAACAGTGAGAGCTATACAAAAAAGCTACGAAACACTGTTGAGAAAAAAATAAAGTAATGTGATATACACCTTATTTATGTATAAGATTACTCAATACTAGTAATTTTTTCCCAATTAAGCTATAATTTCATTAGAGTCCCCCTGGATGTGGTCAAATCCTCTCTCCCCCAGGGAAAAAAAAAGAAGAAAAAACTTTAAATAAACATTTTACCAATGAAGTTTTTTTTTTAATACCAATTAATCACATGGAAAGGTGTGATGTTAAGTAAAAAGTCATTATTAGGGAATGCAAATCAAATCTACAGTAAGATATATATTGGTAGAGTGGTAGACTGGAATGGTTAAAAGTAAGGAGACTAATGCTGGAGCATTGGCAAAGTGATTAAGAATCAAA